TCATTTTATAAAGGGGTTGCCATGGCAGTTCCAGTTCATCAGGAGATATTAATTTTTTTTTCTAGCAATATTAAAATAATGTAAAATCTCTTTCTTATAATAAATGATATAATTATATATATATATATATATGTTATTACGTAATATATATAATAATTAAATTAACTTACTTTAATAATAAAAGTAATGCAAGAAGACATTTAAATGTAGAAGGTGTAGGTATTTCTGAAAGTGTAACCAGTTCATATAATAACTTTATAAGTAAGATATGATCTTCTTTGCTAAAATGTAATCCATATATGTTTAGGTAACTAAAAAAAAATATTTATAAATTCAAATTACAAATGTATTTTTGTAAATTAGATAATACAATCTATTTATATTAAATTAAAATATAATTATCATTTTTATTTAAATGAAATAATAAAAGAATATATACTTACTGGCATAATTTATTAACCCATACAAAACAGCCTGGCCATGTTTCATTAAACATAACAGCTCGTGCTAAATTTGACTTAATTTCGGCTAATAAAGTTTTTGATTCTATTTCTAAATCATCTACATAAGGCAACAATTTATTGTATATAAATTTTTTAAAATGAACATCTTCTATACTTTTGTAAATACAAATATGTGCGAGATCCTTGTTCATTATTACTTAAAGTATTATTATTACAAGCACAAAAAATAGAAATAGATGTAGTCTATGAAAGAGCACACGTTACAATGCAAAATCATCTATATTATTGAATCAGTAACAACTTGCTTATTCTGCTTCGATTTTATCGAGTCATGTTTTACATCTAAGGGGCCATATTTGATATACATATAAGAAGCATGAAAGAAAATTACTATAAAGTTAGAGAAATGTCGACTTTTCAATACATTGATAATCATATGCTTATTAGATTATCGATATTAAAATATAGTTTAAAAAATATATCATAGTTTTCAAATATACAATTAAATAAATAAAAAATTATATTTATTTTTATAGGAAATATAGTTTCTTAATTTTTATATATTCACAATTTTGTACAATAATATAAAAATTATATAGAGTTTTTTTCAAAATATAGTTTTTTAATTATTAATTATATTAATAAATTATTGTTGAATTTAAACTTAAAATAAAATTTAAATACAAAAAAATAAAAAAAATCAATATTTATTATTTATGATATTCTATTATAATCAGAGATACATAAAAAATAATTTCACTAAATCCAAACATATGGCGGCAGTTGCAAGTAAATATATAAACCCAAGTGTTGTCACATAAGAATGTAATGTTATCTTAATCTCGTGTTAATGTGTTATTTTATATAAATTTTATGCAATATAAATGAAATAATATATTATATTTTGTTTTCCTTTTTCTTCTTAAATAAAGAAATTAAGTTTTTTAATTGAAAATTAATATGTAATCTTTAAATATATGAATAAGGTTAAGATAAGTTAATAGCCCATATTAAAAGAACATTTTATTTTCTTTAAAAATCTAAAGATTTAATTTTCAAATGTTATTGATAATTTAATTTAATTTAGAATAATACTATTTTGATAATACTATATTGTGTAAAAAATGAGGACTAGAAAAACATTAGCAATTCTTAGTGCAGGTTTAATTCTTGCTTGTTGTGGTATGTTATATATAATAATGGATTTAACATTTTTTCCACCTGGACAAGGATCTAAACTGTCCATAAATGATGTAAGTGTAAGTGATATAAATATCTGTAAGTCTGTAATAGATTATAATTTATGGTGATAATGAATGAAAAAATTGATTGTTTTATATTTTCAGAATCAATGGTTACATTTTGAAAATAGATTAGCAAAATTAGAAAAAGATTTCAATAAACATCATGAAGTAATGAATGCTTTGAGAGAAGTGGCTGAAGCAAAACATTTTGTGCCTTTAGCCTATTCTATAAATCTTTCTAATCAATCTGTATCATCTCTATCATCTGTTCCTCATTTAGGAAAAGTACTTAAATGTAATTTTAACATACAGAAAATTCCTGAAGTAGACATTCAAATGTTAGAGATATATAGACAATTAGAATTTGATAATGTGGATGGTGGAGTTTGGAAACAAGGATGGAATATTACATATGATGAAAAACAATGGCATCCAAATAGAAAACTAAAAGTCTTTGTTGTTCCACATTCTCACAATGATCCTGGATGGCTTAATACCTTTGAAAAATATTATGCATTTCAAACACAAAATATATTAAATAATATGGTAATAAAATTAGCAGAAGATAGAAGACGTAAATTTATATGGGCAGAAATATCATTTTTTCAACTTTGGTGGGAAGATCAATCTAAAACAATTCGTAATTTAGTTAGACGTTTAATTCATGATGGTCAATTGGAAATTGTATCAGGAGGTTGGGTTATGCCAGATGAATCTGTTTCTCATTGGATGTCTCAACTTATACAACTTACAGAAGGACATCAATGGTTAAAATATAATTTAGATTATACACCAAATTCAGGCTGGGCTATTGATCCATTTGGTCTTTCTCCAACTATGCCATACCTTCTAAAAAAAGCAGGATTGGAAAATGTATTGATTCAAAGAGTTCATTATTCAGTTAAAAAAAGATTAGCTAGAAAAAAACAATTAGAGTTTCGCTGGAGACAATTATGGGATAATGATGGATCAACAGAAATTTTTACACATATAATGCCATTTTATAGTTATGATGTACCACATACTTGTGGTCCAGATCCAAAAATATGTTGTCAATTTGATTTCTATAGATTACGTACTTTTGGATTAAGTTGTCCATGGAAAATAGCTCCAAAAACCATAACTAAATCAAACATTGCAGAAAGATCTGCCCTTTTACTAGATCAATATCGTAAAAAAGCTCAACTTTTTAAAACTGATGTAGTATTAGTACCATTAGGAGATGATTTTAGATATACTCATTTTACTGAATGGGATGCTCAATATAAAAATTATCAAAATCTTTTTGATTATATGAATCAGAATCAACAAATGAATGTTCAGATAAAATTTGGTACATTAAGTGATTACTTTGATGCAGTCAGGGAAAAGCATAATTTAAATGAATTTCCTACTTTATCAGGAGATTTTTTTACATATTCTGACAGAGATGATCACTATTGGAGTGGATATTATACATCAAGGTACACTCAGATTAAAATTAATTATAATAGACTGCCAATCATAACAACGTGTTTATTAAATATATTTTAGACCTTTCCACAAACGATTAGATCGTGTATTATTGAGTTTATTAAGAGCAACAGAAATATTAACAACTATAGGTTGGACTAAAGGTAATGATAATTTAGTAGAAGGTGCTCTTGCACAACGTTTAAGCAAAGCAAGAATGTGGCATTCTTTGTTTCAACATCATGATGGTATTACTGGTACAGCCAGAGATGAAGTAGTTATAGACTATGCCAAGAAAATGATAATGGCCTTAAATAATTCTGCACATGTATTACAACAATCAATGGTTCATTTATTAAAAACACCGCAAGAAATAACTATTAATGCAGATGCTGTGTATATTTCACTTGATGAATCTAGGTTTGATCAAAATTTATAAACATTTTTTAAGATAATAAATTTTATATATATATTGATTATAAAAGATTAATTTTTCATGTTTTAGATTACATCATACAAGTGCTGGAGATAAACATATACTAATTTTAAGAGATGAAAATCCTTTAAAAAAAGTTATTTTATATAATTCTATTCCAAGACAAAGAACAAAAGTACAGACATTAGTTGTATCTACACCATATGTTAAAGTTACTGATCGTATGGGTCAACCAGTGCAATGTCAAGTTTCTCCAATTTGGATTGGACCTGCTGCATTAACTGTTGCTAGATATGAATTGTCATTTTTAGTCACTGTACCTGGATTTGGTATTACAACATATATAATTCATGCTTTACCTAAATCATCATTTCCACAGTATGTTAATTTTTAAATTATCAAATATTTATTTTTGCTCAATATTTATTTTTTTATCATTTATTATGTACAGAGAAGTGCATCCTGCAAATGTAATAGTTTATAATACAGATATTAGTCTTCCAAAGATACCAGGTTTTAATCAAATTCAAATAATACCAAATGCACAAGAATTTTCAATTATGCAACGACCAGAATTATCTGCATCTTTTGGAAAATCAGGTCTTTTGAAAGCTTTAAGAGTCAGTAATATGACAGTTCCTATTCATTTGGAATTTGTTAAATATGGTACTAGAGCTGGTAAAGATAAAAGTGGAGCTTATTTATTTTTACCTGATAAACCAGAACCAGACTTGGTACATATAGATAATAAGTGTATTATACACTTAATAACTGGACCCATTGTATCTAAGGTATTTGTGGAATTTGCACATGTACGTCATACATGTATATTATACAATTCTCCGGGTAGTGATGGACTTGGTTTATATATTCATAATGAAATCAACATATCAGAAACACAAAATTATGAATTTGCTATGAGATTAAATACAGATATAGCTTCAGGAGATCAATTTTATACAGACTTAAATGGCCTTAATGTAAGTATTAATATTTAAAATATTTTATTTTTACTAATAAATATATTTAACAGAATAATCATTATTTAGATGATTAAACGTCAAAGATTTCCAAAGCTTCCTACACAGGGAAACTATTATCCAATGGCAGCCAGTGCATACATAGAAGATAAAAGAGTTAGATTAACAGTTGTAACAGCACAACCATTAGGTGTAAGTTCTATGGCATCTGGGCAAATTGAAGTATGTATTTACTATTTTGTCATTTATATAAAAAAATAATATAATAATATAAAATATATAAAATTTATATATAATAATATAAAATTATATAAAATAATAATGATATATATAATATTTTTATTTAGATTATGCAAGATAGAAGATTACTTCAAGATGATAATAGAGGGCTTGGTCAAGGTATAACTGATAATTTATTAACAAATCATATATTCATGTTTATTCTTGAAAAAAGAAAGCCTTTTTGTACATCTTCTACACCACCAACAAATCATCCATCAGGAGTATTATCATTGTATGGTCATTTAACATCAGAAGAATTATTATATCCTATAATTGCAATGCATCCACACAATTCTTTAACTTTTAATTTAAATCCATATTTTTCCCCGCTTCGTTACGACTTTCCTGCAGATTTAAGCATTGTTAGTTTTCGAGTATTTCCTATTCCTGAAGGAGCTGGTAAAGGTATTGGAATGGTTTTACATCAAGCAGCTTTAGATATGTGTTGGAATGACAATTCTTATTTACGTCATTTTAATGTTTCTGAATCTGTAGAAGTTGATTTAACAAAGTTCCTTAATTATATAGATGATTGGATCATTAGTAAAGCTCCTTTAACATTCCATAATGTAGGGCCTTCATTAAAATCACCTATTGTTAATTTATGTCCACATCAAATATTACCAATTTTATTACATAAGACACAATCTTAGACATTAGAATTTAATAATATCATGGAGTTATTGAAATGAATTTTGCTTTCTACTCATTGTTCCACTATCAACGGCCTTACTCAAAATAATATAATCCAATTGATCTGATGCTGATGGACTGGTTTTATCTATCTTATAGCTGTAACAATATTGATTGAAAATAAGTATGATCAATATTCAATAGAAATCGTTATTTTTATTTTATTAATTACGAAATTTGATTTATCTATATAAAAATTATAATTTGTGTTAAATTTATATAAAATATATACTTAACAAATTTTCACACAAAATTTTTCTTACTGTGATTTACTGTTTATAATATTATAATTATTATATTAAATATAAAAAAAATATGAAATATTTCTTGCAATATTGTTTAATATAAGCATTTAATTGAAATTAATGATCTAATAGATATAAATATAATGCAAGAATATAGAAATATATACTCTTGTATTTGTTTTTTATTATTATATTAAAAAATAAAATATTAGTTTTTGTAAGATATTTTCATGCTAGTCGTATTATTATTTTAAAAAATGTAATTTTATATATTTCAAATGTATGTATATTATAGATATTAAAAAATCTATAATAAAATTAAAAAAGTAGCATATTTTTTTCTATATGTTATTAATATAATATAATATATTATTAATATAATATAATATATATAATATGTATATTAATTTTTTATTATATACTTATATTTTAATAAAATTACATAATTATAAGTTATATTTACCCAAGAGAATAAAAAAAATGCATAGCAGATGGATTGTGTTTAAATACAGTTAAAATTACTTTACGCATTTTATTTTCTGATGCCATAGATTCAAGTGCAAACATTATAAAATGGCCAAGTCCTTTCCTTCGTATTGTGGATTCCAATTGTATTTCATAACTTCAAAAAGAAAATAAATCAAGCTTTTGATTTTTTATAATTTTTAGATGATATATACAAGTGTAAAAAAATTTACACACCAATATAATACTTCTTCCCTATAATCAACATCAAATCGAAAATGAGAAAATCCAACAAATTTATCATTAGATGATGCAATTAAATACCAGGCTGTTGATTCTGTTAATTCTTTTTGCTTAGCAATTGGATCCCAACCCCAATTACTTTGTTCATATAGAGATTTCATATTACGCTCCATAATATCAAATATCCAAGATATACATTTTGAATCTGCATCTTTGGCTTTTATGCAAGAAAGCTCAATAATTTCATTATCTTTGGTTACATATTTATGAAAGAAATGTAGATGTTCTATAGGATTTTTCACAGAATTTGCTTTGTCAACTAAGTTTTTTGCAATAGCTTCTTTTTCTACTAAAAGTTGACGTCTTGTTTTTCTTTTCTAAGTAAAATTATTAAACTAATTATAACTAATTAAAAATATATTAATTACGTTAAAACTAATTATGTATATATATAACAAAATAAAATGTAATTTTATTAATTTATATTATTAAATAAAATTATTTAATAAAATTAATACCTTCATAATAATTATATTTCCCGCGTATATAAACACTTTTAGGCTATATTCTTTTTTTTTACTGTGATTATTTTATTATCATATAAAATTAATCAATGCAATTTGTATAAGATAAAAATATTGAAATTATTCTAGAATTTTAATAAATATTTTTCAAGATATATGTTATGTATGTATGTATATATATAATTTTTTTTAAATTTTATATGTATATATAATAAACGTTGAATCGTGATTTTTTGATAAGAAAACAAAAACTTTTATTTTTACATATAAAGATAAATATTATAATAGATATGTATAATAAAGTGAAATATACATTAATCTTTTAGGAAAATTGATATATACTTTGTTATAATACCAATATATATGATTCAATAGTATCAGAAGTCAGTCTTTCATATTAAATCAACTTATTGAAAGAACTAATTGTGTAGTATAGGGTATAACGCAACATTGTATGTATATATAATCATTATATGATCGAGTATTGTGTGCATGCTCTTATATTAAATTTAAATAAAATTTGAAAAAAAAATTAATAATTAATGATAAAATATATTATATTATATATATATATATAATCATATATCTCAAGTATTCTATACATATCGTTAATAAAAATTTTGACATCTCAAATTAATTGAAAACAGTTTCAACTGGTTGGCAACAAATGCATATTGTATTTTATTGTTAGTGTTTAAAGAATGTTTACTACAGATTCGTAATTATGTATTTAATTCTTGAATTATCATAGGTTAAGTAATTTAATCATCTATCATATACATTACATTGTTCTCTGTGTGTCATTATTTCAGTAAATCAGTATACATATGTTAGTTAAAGGTAATTTACCAATACTAATAGTGTAATAAAATTTAAGTATCTTAATAATTTATGTTTATAATAATATATTTTCTAATATGAATGTATGTAATATAATATATTGTAAATAATTATTATTGTTTTATTAATTTTAGATACTGCAATTAAATATTGAGGAATGGCTGAAAATACTGCTGCATCAAATGCAGAGGAAAAAGTTATTTCCTCAGCTATGACACAATGTTATGAAAATTATATTATTGTTGATGTTGGTGCCAATCTTACTAATAAAAAATATAGCAGAGATTTAGATAGTGTAATTCAAAGAGCAAAGGATGCAGGAGTACAAAAGATTATGGTAACAGGTGCAAGTATTCGCTCTAGTAAAGAGGCATTAAGATTAACCAGGATATATCCTGGTACTCTTTATTCTACTGCTGGTGTGCATCCTCATGATGCAAAATCATGGGAAAATCCTGATACTTTACAAGAACTTGAAAGCATAGCTAATAATCCAGAATGTGTAGCAATAGGAGAATGTGGTTTGGATTATAGTCGTGATTTTTCTGATCCTGAAACACAACGTGCTGTATTTCATAAACAAGTAGAACTTGCATGTCAATTGACTAAGCCACTCGTAATACATGAAAGAGGTGCCCAAACAGATGTTTTAGAAGTTCTAAATCGTTATAAAAATTGTTTACCACCAGTTTTAATTCATTCATTTATTGGAACTGCAAAGGAGGCACAAATTTATTTAGATCATGGTTTCTACTTAGGAATTACTGGATATTTATGTAAAGATAAATCTGATAGTGGAATAAGACAATTATTAGAAAAACGACTTGCACCTTTAGACAGAATATTAATAGAAACTGATGCTCCATTTATGTATCCTAATACCAGAGCCAGTAAATTACCTATACATGTCAAAGATGCTTTAACCGAACGATCCATGACATTTCTTCATCGTTATTGTACTTTTCAACGTAATGAACCATGTGCCTTACCAGCAATAGTAGAAATGGTAGCAGCATTTATGAAAATTGCTCCAGAAGAAGTTGCCTTAGCTACTGCTTTTAATGCTTTGAAATTATTTGGTCTAAATCAGTGATAATTATTAATTATTTTTCATTCTTAAAAAATGGTGCTATTGGGTGCTATTAATTATTTTATTATCAATGTATTGTCTCTTTTCATGTGTAAAAGCATTACTTATGTTTATCAAAATATGTTTTTCATAATAATAATATCAACTTTTATTAACTTATCAATATAATCATTAAGAGAAAAAAATATCATAAAACTTTATTTGTGCATTAATAAATATCATCTCCAATACTTACTTATATTTACACTATATTTATATAAAAATACTCATCAATATATTAAAAATAGCATTATGTAAAATATTTTACTTATTATAATATAATAAAGATTTTGTAGAAATATATATGAAATATATAGAATCTGAAATCACACAATTTTATTGTTAATGTTATAAATATTTTCATATAAATAAATTGTTATATAAATAAAAAAATTTATTGTAAATATTTCTTTAAGTTTTTGAAAAGTCCAAGTAATATTTCAAGAATATTAGTAATATTTAAAATTTATAAAAAAATAACCTACTTAAATATATTTTAAAATATTAATAGATATATTAAAATTATAAAAATATATCATAGTATGTATCGTAAAAAAAGATTTTTATTCATCTTTTAAAAGATTTTTTTTTTATTTAAATTTATTACATTAGACATTTATTTAAAATTTTTATTAAAAACAATTTAATTATTTGAAACATTATTATACTTTAACTTTATGGCTTTCTGAAGATACAATATTCTTCTTTTATCAGATAACTTTTTCCACAAATATGGATTTATAACAAAAGGATGAAATCCTGGTAATGTTTCTATTGCTTTTAATAATATTTTAACTGTAGATAACATATTTTTTTTATTAGTAGAATATGCTTCTACTGGAAAAGCAAAAATGGGAATTCTGTAAAAAAACAAGCATTATTTTTATTTATCTATAATATTATATTAATTATCTTATATATATTTATTTAAATAATATACTTATTAAATATCTTATATATACTGATTTAAATAAATACTATTTTTAATAAAAATAAAATTATATTATTTAAAAATTAATATTTCTTACTTAATACATTCTGATAATGATGCTAAATCTTCAACAAATGTAATATTATTATAATTATTAATATTCATAAGTGATCCATCTGGTTGTATGACAATAATATGATCTAAAATAAAATAATAAAAATCGAAATTTAAATTCAATAGTTTACTATTATTAATTCCTAATTATAATAATTCATAAGCTTTTTACCAACAAATTCACCAAATTTAGTTTTTAAACTACTTTTCATGTATTCAGCACCTCCAACAGCTTCTTTCAAACTTTTCATTAAATAAGGTACATTATTATTTTTATGTTCAAATTTAATTTGATTGAATTTATTTTCATCTGGCATAACTCCTTTATATTCAGGATAAAGTAATTTAATACACCAATATAATTTTAATATAGTTAATATAGTATGTTTTTCTTTTATAATAGATACATTATTATATAAAATAAAAACTTTTTCTATTAATTCTGGATAATAATAATTTAATGAAAGTAAATAATAAGCAATAAATACTATATTATGCATTGAATAATCTGTATTAATAACATAATTTTGTAACATTCTTCTTATAATTTCCCAATTATATGGTACATAATCCGCAATGACAAAACCTTTGATAAATAAATCTATATATTCAATAGAACAATTTTCAGTATTTGTATCTTTTAAAGATTTTTTCATTAAACAATTCAATACAGGAATATTATTATAACGCATATTATTTAAATGCTTTAAGATAATTAAATTTTGTTGAAAAGTAATATTATTAATAATTACAGTAGAACACAGTTCATCTATAAGTGCTTCACAATAAAACTCCATTTCTCTAAAATAAGAAAAAAGAATAAAAAACAATATAAATATTTATAGAACATAATTAATTTTAATCATATAATACTTACGAATTCATAAATTTTTCAGAAATACAATTAAGTAAATAATTAATTTCATTAAAATTTAATCTTTTGCAATAAGTTATTATTATATTTTGTATATAAAGCAGAAGTTGCTTAGAAGATAAACATAATTTTGGTAAACTATATATTACATGAAAAATATCTATCATATAATCTGAATTTATTTTTTGTTTATTTTTAACTAAAATATTAATTATGTGTCTTTTTATTTTTGAATTATTGATTATAAAACAAAATTCAAGTGCTTGCAATAAATTAATACTATTTGAATTAAGTTCAATTTGAGCTCGCTCATTAAAAACATGAGACAATGCTGGAAGTAAAACTTTAATTAAAGGTGTTACTTCCACTTTATATAACATATTATATAGAATCATTATTTGACCAACTGTCAAATCATTCAAAGAAATACGTATTAATTGAAGTAATGTTTGAATTATTACAGTATCAGATGGAACATTGAGAAATAGTAAATTTCGTAAAATATTTATGGTATCATATATGCTTAAAGATCTGACATTTTTATATATTACTTTGCATATTTGTTTAAATTCTTTAGAACTTGTTAAATTTGTATAATACAAGTTTTTTTATTTTTTTTAATCTGTTTATATAAAATATCTACAGTTTTAATAGCATCTTTTATATTCATATTATTATAATTTCTTTGAATATCTTCAATAATATTTCCAATATTATTATTGTTTAATATCTCATTATTTTCCATTATTTTTTTGGTAACTAAAATATCTAAAATACATTATATCATTAAATATTGGATAAAAAAATTAGAAATTAAATAATTAAAAAATTCATTACCATTGTTTAATACTGTGTTAAAATTTGATGAAATAATTGAATTACGAAATATTATTGAATCTTTTATTAATAGTTTAGTAATTTTATTCATTGTATATATTTCATATATTTCTTTTAAAATGACATAAAAAAAATATATTCTAAATGGTACTTATTAATGTATATTATATATTATTTAATATCACTGGAATAAAGTATTCGTATTTTGATTAACCTAATTTGATATTTTTAGTATTTCAATAAAATTAATTATGTACATAATGTAATATTAAAATTTTTATTTTAATATGAAATTATTAAATAACAATTATAAAATTATAAAAGTAACAATTAAAATATATAATAATTTTTTACATATATATATGAAATGAAATTTCATAATCATAAATATTAGTTTTAGTGTC